GAGAGAGAGAGAGAGAGAGAGAGAGAGAGAGAGAGAGAGAAAGGGAGAGGGAAAGGCGGGGAAAAGAAAAAAGAAAGCAGTATATTATATAGAAAGGGTCACAATAGGAGACACGGACGATGTGAAATTGAAGTTCACCTATATCTGCACCGCAACCGTTATTCTTAACCTCACTCTATAGGTTTCCTCGGGTGTATACTATTTCCGCCCAACGCGCGCATCTAGTATTCTGATGGCCAACCTGCTTCAGGAAATCATCATGGGAAAGGCGTCCACTCTGAAGCAATTGTGTCTGTATTTTGTGATTAGTTCTTCCGCTTCACACGCCCGACCGCCCGCCCTTCCGCCCAACCGCCCGCCCGCCCGACCGCCCGCCCGTACGCACGCACGCACGCACGCTCGCACGCACGCACGCATGCACGTACGCGCACAACCATAAGTATGTAAAGTCACAAACTACAGTTGGTTATTTGACCACAACCTCAAACGCCCTCCACATAGACCTCCACATGTTACCGCTCATTCCTCACTTCCCCTTTTTTTTTCATTTCAGGCCGTCGCGCATGCAGAGCGACAGAACCGGAATCGGAATCGGAAGCTGGGCGGAAGCCATCATGGCGATGTCTGACATCGACAACGTGAACTTCACCCTGGCCGTACAACTCTACGAGATGTTACATTTCCAGGGCGCGTTCGGCGGGTCCTCCTACGTCATCGTCATGGTGTTCTCGTTGCTAGGCAACGGACTCGTCATCGGCAGCTGCGCGATGAACCGGAAATTCCGCACGAGCACGCACTTCCTGTTGATGAATCTCTCCGCGGCCGATCTACTTTACATCTTCGTCATCTTCATCGACGGATCGACGCTGATGCTGTGGAGATGGCCGTTCGGTTCCGCCATGTGCAGTATCATGTTCATGGCTCTAAACGTTGCCCTCTACATCCGCATCTACACGCTGGTACTGCTCACCGTGGAGCAATCCCTCATGCTTTGCTACCCGGAGGTGAACCGCCGTCCGATGTACTGGATCATACTGTCCGTGCTGTGGGTGATGATGATCTTGTCTAACATCCTCGGTCCGATGACGGGACACCTCATGGCCAACAACTTCTACCCGTGGGACGATGCCCCGCATCCTCAGTGTACGGTCTGGATTGACGTGCTGTCGGAGTACTGGTGGGGTTTGTTCATCTTTGCTTACTCCGTACCGCTGATAGCGATCGGCGTCGTCGAGTCTGTGATGCTGCGCCGCTGGTTCTGTGACTACATTCCAGCCCGAGCTTCGCCGAACTTTACCGAGATTAAACGAACGACGATTACGTGCGGCGTCATGGTGATGCTGTTCGCCGCACTGTGGCTCCCTCTATACGTGACGATGTTGACGATACTGCGCAGCGACCCGGAGGCGGATGGCATCGTGCAGGTCATCGATTCGGGGTCAAAGGTCATTATCTGCAAGGTGATTGCTTCCGTAGAGATGTGCATCAATCCTCTGCTATACGCCATCATCATCCCGTCCTTCCGGCATCAGTTTTGGCTGCTGCTGACGTGCGGCTGCTGCTGCGGCGACGACGCGGGGCGACGGAAGGCTCGTGGCGACGGCTGTACGGAGCTTCAGAACATAGGCGACGAGCAGGCGACCGCTGAGGGCAGCCGCTGTCTGAGCGAGCAAGTGTACAGCATCTCGCATCTTCACAGCGTTCCCAGCACGTCGTACGCGCACCACGACCAACTCGTATAACGGCAAGCCAGCCAGCCAGCCGGCCAACTAGCCAGCCAGCCAGCCAGCCAGCCGGCCAACTAGCCAGCCAGAGGAGGCGGCGATGCTACCACAGAGTACCACGGTGCAGCGGTAACAGAGTACCGCGGTGTAGCGGTAGCAGAGTACCGTGGTGCAGCGGTACCGCGGTGCAGCGGTAACAGAGTACCGCGGTGTAGCGGTAACAGAGTACCACGGTGTAGCGGTAACAGAGTACCGCGGTGCAGCGGTAACAGAGTACCGCGGTGTAGCGGTAACAGAGTACCGCGGTGTAGCGGTAACAGAGTACCGTGGTGTAGCGGTAACAGAGTACCGTGGTGTAGCGGTAACAGAGTACGCGGTGTAGCGGTACCACAGTGTAGCGGTAACAGAGTACCGCGGTGTAGCGGTAACAGAGTACCGCGGTGTAGCGGTAACAGAGTACGCGGTGTAGCGGTAACAGAGTACCGTGGTGTATCGGTAACAGAGTACTGTGGTGTAGCGGTAACAGAGTACCGCGGTGTAGCGGTAACAGA